GGGTTTTGGGCTCTGCTGTCTCCATGGCAGGAGGTAACGCTGAGGAACAGACCAACCCTTGGGCATGCAGCACTTCCCACCTCAAATCCTACCCCCTGAACGACTCCAACGTGGTTATTTGTCACCTATCCCAAAACGCGCTGCCGCTTCGCATCCCTGTGGATCTCCCGTGTGCTCCATGAGGAGCGTCCGGGAGCCCTTGCCCCATCCCACATCACCCCCCCAGGCAGCTCCGTGGAAAACTCGAGCCCTGGGATGTTGCTTTGGGCCTCCCCGGCCTCCAAAGCTCTGCCCTCAGCACCAGCTTTGCAGCCACTGCCTTGGTACCCACAGCACTAAGCACTGAACCCTGGTTCACCAAGAAATAGGGCCTAAAAAGGAAGAAAAAGTCGCTCTTTGCAACAGCAGGGCCTGAAAGAGCGTGCAGCCTCCTACCCTGCTGTCAAGGCAGAAGGAAATTACAGAACTTTTTGTACTAACTGTGACAAAACCGCTTCCTCAGGAAAAAAAAAGGAGAGAAAAAACGCTTTGCGCAGCAAGCTGAAGCCACAAGCTCCAATCCTGTCCGTTGCTGCCATCCGCACCCCCCTACGCAGCACCTGCGCTTCTATCTCTCACTTAACCACCTTAAGATAGCGAATCTACAGAGCTCTGCAAAACAGCTGATCAGGAGCTGCGTAAGAAGGGAAGTAAACACGTCCTGGCGAGCAGATAAAGCCCCGAGTTTGATAACTTTATTAGGCTCGAAAACATGGAAGGAGTGGCAAAGTCCCGGAGGCTACGGCAGGGAGCACGTTAATGCACCAGGCGGTCTAGGAATGGGGATTTTATTCCCCATTTCCAACATTAAGCAAGTTTTTGAGCAGCTCCCGCCTTGGCTGGTGCCTGTGTGTAATGGTGGGATGGCTGCTTGTTTTGCAAGGTGGAAATCAGCCTTTGCAAGGTGGAAATCAGCCTTTGCAAGGCAGTTCAGATGGCTGCTGAAAGGCTGCTGCACACCTGGGCTCTTCAGTGCAGGGGCTGAGCGAGCGGCTCCACGTTCTGCAGCCAGAATTAACATCTCCCAGCGAGGAGGAGGCATCTTGGCTCCTTGCAACGCACAGGCAAAACTGAGCAGCTGCAGTCCCCAAACACCAGGGTTAAACGTTCCCACCACTGCCTTAAGACAGAAAGGAAGAGTGCTCTGCCCTGACAGAAATCAAGTTAGACAATTTTTTTTCCTTTTCAGCCTGTCCTTAGCGCAGCGCTCGGGCACCAGAACTGAAACAAAAGCAGGCAAGAACACATTGGAAAAGGACAATGGGAGCTGGAATCCAATTGAGAATTTCCTGCAAACAGCCCAGTAATAAATTGTTGAATAGCCAAGATCAAACAGCGAGTGAACAGAGATTGAATGCGCTAAATAAACGGCTGCTTAACCAAACGGATGCTCTTATCCTTCTAAATTCTTTCACCTCTGCAGATAGGCAAGCAGCATTTGCTGCCACACAGTAATATTTACAGGTTGCTAAGAGTTCCTCGAGGTCTGGAGCTTTTCCATCCTCCAGCAGAGCGCTGTGCTGTTCGTGCTGGAAGCCCTTCTGTGGGAGCACCCTTGACTTCTCAGTGTGGGCGCAGAGCCCGTGCGTGTTATATAAGGACTTGGCCCCGACCAGCAAGCCAGAAGAGGGAAAAAAAAGTAGCACTGAGCCAGTACTGGAGCAGAAAGCTGAGGCCATCTGCCTCCAAACAAGGCCAAGGAAATTCTAACTCTGCACCAAAGTGGAAAGAATCGAAGCTGGGAAGCAAAAGAGGAAAAAAGAGTCTTCCTAGAAAGTTGCAGCTGGACAGATGAGAAATTTAACGCTTTCTCTCCTCATCCCCTGTTTACACAGACTGCTTCGGTTCTGCCACTCTCTGCTGGGGGTTTTGGAGGTTTCTACCTTTGAGCCTTTGGGGTTTCTACCTGGGTCGCTTTGTCGTTGGTGCAGGAGGCGGCGGCCCCGTCGGCGTCGCGCGGCCACTGCCCCAGCAGGTAGGAGCCCACGATGGTGTCGAGCGACGAGGTGCGGCGCACGCGGGGCGCGCGCGGCCGGCAGCTCTTCTCGGTGGCAGCAGCACACGGGACGCTCGCTGCACAGGGGGAGAAAAGGAAGGAGAAATAAGTCTTCCAAAGCCGAGACGCAGTAACAGCTATTGCAATTCCGTGCCCGTCGCGCAGGGTCTAGGACGGATTGGAAATATGCAGTTATTTTGTGGGAATCACGCTGCTAGCACGGCCACTGAGTCCCCTGGCTTGCAGGAGGAGCAGGTCCTCGGGCCAAGGCCACGCTGCTGCCCGGCCGCGTTCGTAGTCAGAAACAGGGCTAGCAACAGCCCCGAGCAGAGCGGTGCCCGGGCTCCCCAGCGTGCCCTCCTCCTCCCCACTCCGCTGCAGAACAGCCACGTTCAGCCTTATTGCCAAGAGAGGCTACTCCAGAACAAGAGGGTTTATTGCAGTCCTTAAGAGGCTGCTCGAAACCACTGATCAGACACTCCAGCCCAGCCAGGGAGCTGCATGCGATGGGGCCTTGGAAAGCTGCTTGGAAAGCTGCTGCGTGGAGCCTTGGAAAGACCCGTGGCTGAGAGGCCGGCTGCATCCTCAGACTCTTCCCAAGGGAATCGAGGGGTAACGACTAAGACTGAGTGAGTCCCAGGGCACTCACCAGCCGTGGGTATTCGCTCAGCAAACACCAAACGTGAGGACGTGCAATTTGCTCATTGCCAGGGCCGGGCGCTGATGGGCCCAACTAAAACTCAGGAGCTGCGGGTCTGTTTTGTGCAGCTTCCCCGCAGTGACTATTCCATCTCTTCAGACGGCGTTTCCATACAGTAGCTTTGGCCCAGCACAAAAGCTTTGTAAATACACCGGGTTTAGGTTCACGTCAGCAATGATGCACCCCAGCAGCACCTCGCTGCCAGCCAAGCGCGGAGCACGCGACGCCAAACGTCTCGGCCGGCCAAGGCCAGGGCACGAGCACAAACACGACACTCTGCTGAGCACGAAACGCACGTGCCCTGCACACACGGCCCTGCTGTCACCTTCGCAGCCCAGGGCAGATGTTGTTGCCAAAACCCAGAGGGGCAGCAGCGAGGAGGCAGCTTGGAGGTGGCACGGAGCGCGTTTGTGCTCCGCTCCGGCTCGGGGCTTCCTGGAGAGGCAGCATCTGCCGCGACCCGCTCTGCTCCGGGGGTCCCCACGTTCCCTTCTCCCCCCGTCGCAGTTTCAGCGGGTTCGACCTCGCTGACGCCAACACGGAGCTGCTCAGGGCCCAGCCCCTCTGCGTGCCGAGGCTCAGCAGCACTCGCTGTGCGGCCTCCTATGGGCTCACCAGCAGCCGAGACCGTGCCCAGGACACTGTTAAATTCAGTTTTTTAACCAGTGAGCACCCATTTCGGAGCGGGAGGCCTGGAGCTGCTCTCCAGCCCCTCCTCACAAGGTCCACGCAGGATGAAGGGCTCCTTGTGCTCGGTCCAGCCATGCTCCCCCTTCCAGCGCTTCTCAGGCGGCTACTGCTAATTCTAATTTAGCAGCTCATTAGTGTGGCAGCTTCCTCCCCAGCACCTCCTCACCCCCCCAGGCTCCGTTGCTGCATCCCCATCCGCAGGGCTGCAGCTGGCCCTTCCTGCTGGCAGGAGGAGCAGGCGCTTTCCCGGCGGCGCAGCCACGGGAAGCGGCTCCCCCTGCCCCACGAAGCCTCCAGAACATCCCCAAGAACCACCTTCCGCCTCTGGTCCTTCTCCC